ATAAAAGGAAATAACACGAAAATTCAGCTCAGTTGAAAACATAAATTAATTAGAGTACATACCCCAGTCAGTAGGAACATTTCCCAAGAGTACTTCAATTTTTGTACTCTGCTCAATTTTTGGGTTCGGAGTTGTATTCTGGTTGTGCCAAACAACAAGCGGTACCGTGGACAAAATTGGGTACAACCCGGCAACAGTCCAGAATACAATATTTGGTGGCCGGAATACAATTTTGGAATACTGTATTCATGTACCCAAGGGTATGTACTCCATTTTGGTCCCGGACTTAAGTAAAAAATAACTAGTGTTTCTTAGTGCGCAATTTTAGTATCACTTCTTTAGTATTCAACCGCGCGTGAATACAGGCAAAAAGTGAGCTACTCGCYGATTACTAGTGGTAAGAGTACGATTGGTCTGCTTCGGTGGCAGTGGAAGTCGAAGGTGTCGGCACTGTATTTTCAATTTAGTCCCATGCCACAAGCATWTAAGCTTGCATCTCATTCCTGCAACTTAATTGTTTTACAATGTTTCTTACAGTTCAAAACCCTACCASCTCTACAACTAAAAACAGCCAACTGAGTAGTTYCTTGAAAATCCACCCCCCAGACTCCTCTTCCTCTTTGAGAACCAATTACAGTCAAATCTGTTTTAGTCTTTTTTAAATACCTTGTCCATATCACCTGAGTTAGTTCATTGTCCATCCCAACCACCAGATAGGCCTTGGCTGAGCTCCTAGTGTTGAGCTTCTGCTTCAAATATCCTGAGCATGGTGATCCCTGTCCCATTGCCATTGTCATTCTGTTGTGGCTCCTCATGTCCTTGTGCACAGCAAAGGCTGCATCCACATGCCACCTTAGCACACTGGATCCAGCATCAATCCCAATATCAGTGGGAGCCCCATTGTTCCTCAAAGATATCTCATTACCCTGTCTAGTTTCTTGAGGTTATCCTTGTCAGGTTGTCAAACCCTKGTGAAAGGAATGCAACTGGTAATTGGATATCTGGATGGGCTCTWTTTCCTAGGAACAACAATTTCGCAGTGTTAGTAGTGTGGAATATGGAACTAGCCTCCATATCAAGTAGCAGGGGATCCTTCTCATTGACATCAAATAGATGGTCCCCTGCTGATGTTGCTSATYCCCCTTTTGAAAACATTTACAGTGGTAGCTCATCCAGCATACTGGCTACTATGTAGTCATACTACATTGTKAAACAAACCAGTCCTTYTTTYKAGAAATCTGTKGTCATGCCAAGATACTCATGGATCTTTCCTCTAGTTTAGACCAGTGGGCTCACTTTTCCATATTTGTCATTGATTGGGTTCAATACTGATGTGACCACCGATTTGGATGCATGTGACACTTTCATATCATCCACATGCCACAGTATCGTACATTGTTGCTTTCCTTCTATATTCTTGTTCATAACACACCAGTCATAGGGATTCACTGTGAATCCCCACAGCTTGAGGTCAGTGCTGAGCTTGTTAATCCAGAACAATAGAGCTCCATTGAGAGTCCCATATATGCTAGTCTTCAAGCATTCAATGTACCATATATGCTAGTCTTCAAGCATTCAATGTACAAGTATCTCTTCCCTTTGCCATTGACTTTGATATAATCCTGGTACAGCTCCAGTTCCATTTCCACYAGCAAATCACCAAGCATCACCACTCCATCAAGCCATAGATGASTGTTCCCACTATTGTCTTCMGTCTGTAGGAACACCCTGGGTATGTCTGCTGTTGCTAAATCCCTGCCTTCATAAGCATCAACAATAGWAGTACATGATAACATGAGGGCTTGCAGCCCTGATACAGTTGGAGATGTTGTATTCTCCTTTGTCATCCAGTCTCTTTGTTTCCTAATACTACCGTCAGTGCATCCCTGCCCTTTTATATAGCCACTTCATTTGTCCTWTAGGAACATGATTAAGTATGCCAATGCTTGTCTTGCCTTCTGCTTATCAGTGAGTTTTGCAGCACTGACAACTGCCTTGCTGGTCAGCACCTCACAGTCATGGAATTGTTTTAGTTCCTTCCTAATTGCATCAAGGCTGTGTTGACCAAACCAGCACAACCTTTGGAACCACTAAAAGTGCTGATTCCCAATTACATACCWGGATATGTTTACAGGAAYTGCCCAATAATGTAACAACAGCATGATGACGTTGTAGTAGGTACTGTGCGTTTGTTCTACTGTCTTTGAATAGTACTTTGTACAGTACAGTAGTACTTACCTGTACTTTGAACTGTAATTTCCTCAACAGCTAAACAGAGAAAATATTGGGAATAGCACTCATACATACAAGAAGAGAACTGAGCATATGGTATGAGTTATTGCAAGGTAYAGTACRAGTACCAAATTTTTGCAACCAATATTGCAAAACGGCTGGACGAGTCATCTAGTACTTAAAATATGTAGGATTTTACGTAGGCTATAACAAGTCACTTAGTCCTACTCCATTTACCACCGTACTTACATGTGCTACATATTTTGTGGTAGGAATTCTACACAGCAACCGTGTTAACTTTTCTGTTGTGGTTGCATCTGTACCTCTTTTGGTTGCTTAAGATAGAGCAAATTGTACTGAGTATACAACCATTTTGCAACTCCCTCCYGTTGACTCACAAGAGGTGCATTTTTTGCTCACAAAATTTGCAGCAGTCCCTTCCTCACATACAAGTATACAAGTACAAGCAAAACCCCAAGCAACTAACTATCAAAAAACAGCARCACAGCAGCAGTATTGAAAAACAGCAGCATTACTACTAAGAAGAACATAGTAACAGCACAAGCGCAAGAACGCGACAAATGCAAACGCGACAGGTGTACTCGTCCCCGTGCCCAGAAACACAGGGAGGGGGGGGGGGGGCTGTGAAGCCTCCATGAGACATGAACCAGCCAGGGCAATGGAGTAGATACCATAGGATTCTACTGGAGCTAATGGATCATGTACATGGA